AGATGAAGGGTCTAGGCCCGAAACGTCAGTCTTTCTGCTCCTATGATGCTGCTTGGCCTGCTGTGTTCATCCAGCTCTGCACCTTGTTGTCTCAGATTCTCCAGCATCTGCAGTTCCTACTATCTTTGTATGAAATCATTTTGGCTTAAGATGCAACCCTTAAAATATAGCAATTAATTCATTTATAGAATTATTTCTATAGGGGGAAGACAGTGCCAAAGTGATGATATTACTGAGTTAACAATCAAGGGGTCTAGCCTACTAATCATCTGGGAACATAGTTTCAAATCCTACCACAGCAGCTGGTGGAATTTAAATTTGATTAATAAATCTGGAAGCTTATAATGGTAACTGTGAAACTATCATTTGTTGTAAAAACTGATGACCTTTAGAGAATGAAATTTGGTGGGGCTTTCATGAGACTCAAGACTCTCACACTTGATTGCCTTCTGAAATCAGTTCAAGGGCATTTAGCAATGGGCAACAAATGCTGACCTCGCCAGTTACATCTGCATCACATGAAAGATCAATTTTCTAAAAATTATACTGAGACAAAAATTATGAAAACTCCTAAATCACAAAACCAATTATTCAAAGGATTTGATGGTCACCCACAGTACAAAATGTGTTTAAAAATCAGAATTTATGAGTCAGCTGACAGTGATTCCTCTAAGTTAGTATTGTCACTGAAATTTTAGTATAGTGGTGGACATATAAAATTATCAACATACATCCAATTGAATTCTGAAAAACACCTGACATGTCCTATACAATTATAGATTCTTATCTTGACACAAGTTAGATTGAGAAAGATAATTTTGAGCAACATAACTTTAGAATTAAGTCCTAGTTTGTTGCAAGTGGTTGTTGAAATAGGAATAATGTGAGATGAAGGAAGTTACATTTAAATTGTAATAACTACTTTCAAGATATCCCAAAGCACTAAACTTTTTTTTAAGTAATGTTACAATACAGCAGCCATGTAGCACAAAGCAATCTGCCATGAAATATCAATTTATATCTGTGGAGGGTGCTCTTGTGATCCTATCTGAGGCAGAAGGTCTGCATTCAACTCCTACCTACAACTAAAAGTGTGTCAATAATATCCACAAATAGATTGATTAAAAATAATTTTACTTGTGGCACTAGTAGTGTAGTCACTGGTAATGTAAGGAATGATTTAATATCAGGTCACAGATTACATTGTTTATGGTCCAGAGAAGGTAAGCCAAATAGAAATGTACCTATCTCAATAGAAATCAAGTAATTCGTATTGTTCAGCAATTGACAGACAGAATTCCACGCTGCTATTGTACAGAAAATAATAATACAAATAATTAATTCTGCAATAAAATTAATTGCTTTCCACTTTGAACTTCATAGTGATCAGGTCATCAATGCCAGCTTGCAGTTCATCATGTTCCTGCACATCAGACACTCCTGCCGGTGTCCCCGTGAGGACCAGGTCCCCTTCTTCCAGTTTCATAATCCCACTGATATAACTGATGAGATAGGGGATGGGGAATATCATCTGGGAGGTGTGTCCCTGCTGCCTGAGCTGCCCATTGACCTTGAGCCAGAGAGTCAGGCGGTGTGGCTCAGGGATCCTGTCCTTGGGGATGAAGTCGCTCACTGGACAAGAGCAGTCGAAGGCTTTGGCCAGAGTCCAAGGGTGACCTTTTCTCTTGCACTCCTCCTGGGTGTCCCGAGCTGTCACGTCCAGGCAAAGCGCGTAACCTCCCAGGTAGCTCATAGCTTCTTCCTGCGGGATAGAGCTGCCGCCCTTAGCCAGCACCAACCCCAGCTCTACCTCCGGCTGCACCTGGCGGCTATAGCGGGGTGGCCGGATCGCAGATCCCGGTCTTAGGTAGGCACTGACCGGCTTCAGGAAGAGCAGCGGCTCGGCTCCGGGTACGGGGTTCCCCAATTCCCGAGCGTGTTCGGCGTAATTCCTGCCAACGCAGACAATTTTCCTGCCCCACTCCCAGAAAGAGTGCAAGTCCCGAGCCATGGCTCTGAAACTGAAAATTAGAAAACAGCTTCAGGTCCCAGAGTCTTTCTCTCTCTCTCTGTACCTTTGTACAGATATTGCAAAGTCCTAATTGCTCCTCGGCCTTCTTTAAACTATTCGCAATGACAACGTGCGCAAGGGTTATGGGGAAAATGTTGCAATTGGTTGAGATCGCCCAATGAAGGAGAGGCTGAGGGTTGGAGGTGAAAGGCTGCTGTGTGTAGCTGGAGCGTCCCCAGTCCCCGGACTCTGACTATGCTGCTGCCCCTATACCGACTCGGCAGTGTGAGTGTCACCGTGCTGACTGCTGCTGCTCGCAGGCTCGGTAGGAACCCCCTTACCTCACCTTGTCCTCCCACTGTCAGCAAAATACCTTTGCATTTGTCACTCTAGGCTTATTCTGTTCTAGAGCTGTGTCATTGCTAAATGCAATTTTTTTTCAGTAATATTTTCTCCTGCAAACGTTTTAACACTTTAGATATTATTTGTAATATTCTTTAAAAGTCTGTATTTCTGTTTAAAAGCAATTGTTCGCATGGGTCATACTGTACATGATGTTGCAATTTTATACAATCCATGCGGAAGTCAGCCCACCTTATTATGTAAGTGGGTAAAAACCCACACGTGATGTATCTGCCTCTTCCTGGTACCTTGTTTTGGTAGACATTTCTTCAAAATGGGTCTGTCAGTTAGCACAGTGAGGCCCATCTCAGTAAATGTTTACAGTGTATATGATATTGACAAGGGATTAGTGGAGTGTTCCGGCCCTCTTACACTGGGGAGAAATTCAAACGACGTTATGGCAGGGTGATAGTCGAAGAAGTGTGTCTGGGCTGCTGTTCTGAATAATTTAGTAAACAGCAGTAAAGAAGCATTGAAGTCATATAACATGGAAACAGACCCTTTGGTCCAACCAAACCGCGCCGACCACGTTCCCAAACTAAACTAGTCCCATTTGGCCCATATCCCTCTTAAACCATTCCTAATCATGTATCTGTCCAAATGTCTTTTAAATGTTGTAATTGTACCTGCATCTATCACTTCCTCTGGCAGTTCATTCCACATACAAACCACACTCAAAAAAAGTTGCCACTCATGTCCATATTAAATCTTTCTCTCTCACCTTAAAAATATATCCCCTGGTTTTTAACTTCCCCACCCTAGGGAAAAGACCCTTGCTATTCACCTTATCTATGACCCTCATGATGTTATAAACCTCCATAAGATCACCCCTCCACCTCCTATGCTGCAGTGAAAAAAGTCTCAGCCTGTCTTTATAACTCAAACCTTCAGTTCCCAACAACATCCTGGTAAATCGTTTCTGAACTATCTCCAATTTAATAATATCCTTCTTATAGCAGGAGTGTACACAGTACTCCAGAAGAGGCCGCACCACCATCCTGTACAATCTCAAAAAGACATCCCAACTCCTAAACTGAAAAGTCTGAGCGATGAAGGCAAGTGTGCTAAATGTCTTCTTAACCATCCTGTCGACATATGACGCAAATTTCAAAGTATTATAAATTTGAACCCCTAGTTCACCCTATACTATATTACACAGGGCCCTACTATCAATTGTATAAGTCCTGCCCTTGTTCGTCTTACCAAAATGCAATACCTCACATTTTTCCAAATTAAACTCCATCTGCCACTCAGCCCGTTGACACAATTAATCAAGGTCTCTTTGTGATTGTAGATAACCTTCTTCATTGTCCACTATGCCATCAATTTTGGTGTCATCTGCAGTGTCTCCTAAATTCTCATACAAATTGTTTATATAAATGACAAACAAAAGTGGATCCAGGACTGATCCCTGTGGAACAGTCACAGGCTTCTAGTCTGAAAAACAACAGCACTACCACCACCTTCTGTTTCCTACTGCTAAGCCAATTTTGTGTCTAGTTGGCAAGCTCTCCCAGAATTCCGTATGGTCCAATTTTACTAATTAGTCTACCATGCAGAACCTTATATTATGGGAAACTTGATTAAAGAGTGTGGTTAAAATAAATAATGTGCAAAGGAAAGGAAGTGTGAAAAAAAGCGTGCTCGAGCAAAAATGTTCTTTTAGCAAACTGACAACTTACTTAATCAATTTAAGTTTACATACTTAGGGTGTTGGCCAATATTCTGGTGATTTATCATGTGCAGTGTTTGGAGTTTTCCAGCCTAGAATAGATTGTGCCTAAATCTCAATAGATTGTAGAGCAGCACTTTACTACAGTGAACAAAGCTGCAGGTGCTCCACTTTAAATATAAAGTACTTCCTTTGTGTTACAATAGACGGTATTTTCCACATTAAATAAATAACTTGTCTCGTTATTCCAAAGTCAACTCGGACATTTATAATGATAATCAAGTAGGTACAGTGTAAATTGAAGTTGCTTTGTAAAGACAGAAGTCCCCTTCAAATCTATCAAGTTTTTTTTAATCCAGTCGATTATGACTAATATCAGACGTAAGGGAGCCTTTTACATGAAATGCTCTGGATGAAGTCAAGGTGAAAATACAGAATGGGGCCTTTTGCTATCTCTTCGTCTGGAGCCATTTACTCATATTTGTTATCCCCGACCCGGTCTCTAAATGGTATGTAAATATGTCACTTTGAAATTGGGACTGGAGAGAATTCTTCCTGGCTCAAGTTAGAAACCAAGGGAGTAAAGAACGTGGCTTTACTTATTACAGAATATCTACTTTCAAAACAAATTTCTAGAGTCATACAGCATGGAAACAGACCTTTCGGTCCATGCTGACTATGTTCCCAAACTCACATCTACCTACGCTAGGCCCAGGTCTCGACAAATGCTTCGTATTCTTTGCTGGAGATGGGATTTCTTTCAGATGACAGGTTAAACCAAGGGCTTGTCTGCCTCTTAGATGAACTTAGACTGTCCCATAATGCTTTACAAATGCAGTTTATTTCTTTCTCCATTGTTTGTTTTTGATGAAGTTTAACCGGGAAGGCTGCAAATTGAATTCAAACCTGTGGAAATAGATTACCAAGTGGTCTGAAGTGCAGAAATTCTGAAACTCAAGGATGTGTGGGATGAGGGGGACAGGGCCATGCGGGGACAGTACCAAATGAAGCACCTCAGGGTTCAATATTGGAAACAGCCAGCATGCCACTTGTCTGTCCATGCTCCTTAATCTAGTCTCTTATGAGCAGGTGATGTATTCCTCAGCAATAGACAGACAGGAGGTTCAAAGGTCTGCTCGATCCTCACTGTTTTTCACTGAGGTCCAGACATGTGGTTTATCTGAACTAACATGACATCATCCAGTTTTGTAATTGACTGTTACTATTGGCTTCAGCATCTTGAGGCAGGAAGGGGTATAAAAGGACCGTGATGCCTATGAAAGGATTTGTGCAGGAAGTGCCTTTTGTGAGGCTGGAAATGAAATGCAAACGAGTGCAGGGAGAATGTTCACTCAGGTGAGATAGGGAAGGGTTAATAGCGTCAATAGAAATTATAACAGCAAAATAAAGCATTTGGAAGAGTTCAGCTGAAACTTGGAAGGATAACAATTTCAATCAATAATCATTGTTTTATATAAAATTAGACACCTCTTTGCAAACCATATAAAATGTTTATCATACTCTTGGTCAATTAACAGCCTATGATTTTCAATGATATAAAATATTCAGAAAGAATGTACATAATTTTGTATGTGTTTGTTTATCTGCAGGTTCACTATCCGCTCAGTTTGGAACTGCTGTTAGAAGGTCTGAAACCATTATTCAGGCAAACATGAAGGTTGAATTGTTGCCAGCTCTGGCCGATAACTATATGTATCTCCTCATCGATAATGAAACCAGAGAAGCAGCAATTGTGGATCCAGTGGAACCACAGAAGGCAAGCAGAAACAAACATTTTTTTTAATTGTTTCAGCCAGTTAGATTTTGGAATTACTTGCAAATTTGATGATAATGCAACTGAAGCAAATCAGAAGTTATCTTTTGTGTAAAGCTGTTAAATTATGAATTAACATTTATATAAATTAATTCGGGTCTTTAATGGGTGTTACCTAATTTTTTTTTTCTTATTCTTTCATTGGATGTGGCATTGCTGACAAGGTTATCGCCCATCTCTAATTTGACCTTCCCAAGTCACATTTCAACATTTTCCGAAGTTCTAGAGTCACATGTAAGCCAGAGTGAGTAAGAATGATAGATTTCCCTCCTTATTAGACATTATTGAACCAGATGGGCTTTGACAATAATCAGTAATAGTGCCACAGTCCCCAGCAATTCCAGGTTTCTACTGACAACTTCTTAAACAACTTGTACAAAACAATGTCTCCCAAAGTAAGAACCGTACACATAGACCAATGAGCCAACACAATTGCAGGTTTCTATTAATTGAACACAAATTCCACCAGCCACAATAGTGGGATTTGAACCTGTTCCCTGGCATATTAGCCTGGGAAACTGAATTACGAGTCCAAGGATATTACTGCTACACCACCACTTCCCTATAATTCAGATCTTGATCCGATCTTACAAAAGCTAACTCAGCTAAAATAGAGTAACAAGAGTTCAAATTGCAACATGAATGTAGAACAGTTCTGGTCTGAGTATCAGTTGACTAACAGGAGTAAACATTTAGGAAATGTTAATCTGCTACATCTGTAACGTGCTATTATTATAAGATGTGGTATCAACTATGGCAGAAGTTTATTTCTAAAAGACTTGCCTATTAACTTGGTTCATCTTAACATAGTATAATTCAATTTTGGATACAACAGCATTTAAAGTTCAAATTATTACAGCATAACAGTAAAATTTGGGAATTTACAATATACACCAGTTTTTATACTGATAAATCATTGATATGTCTCCAACATTAAATTATGATTTCAGTAACATTATTATGTAAGCATGTCTTGGATAGCAAATATCAGATTAACTAAAAACATATGATCTAGTTATTTGAGATAGTAGGAACTGCAGATGCTGGAAAATCTGAGATAACAAAGTGTAGAGCTGGATGAACACAGCAGGCCAAGCAGCATCAGAGGAGCAGGAAGGCTGACGTTTCGGGCCTAGACCCTTCATTAGAAATGGGGGAGGGGAAGGGGGTTCTGAACTAAATAGGGAGAGAGGGGGAGCCGGATAGAAGATGGATAGAGGAGAAGATAGGTGGAGAGGAAACAGACAGGTCAAAGAGGCGGGGATGGAGCCAGTAAAGGTGAGTGTA